ACTGGCAGTAGGGCCAACCCCAGGACGCGCAAAATCAGGAAGTGTTCCCAGCTGCAGTCCTTCTCCACAATGTGGAGTTCCGGAGCTCCTATCAGTAGATTCACTGCAACTATAGCCACAGAAAGGAGTGCCACCTTGGATATTCCCTGCCTTGATACAGTTACTATAACTCCCAGTGTCCTTACAAACTAAATTCTGGCATAAGGGGCAATATTTGAACCTCCAACTTGAAAGAGTTTGCTCATGTGAACCGTACTTACAAGCAACACTTGAGGTTTTCATGGTTATCTGAAGGTTTCCTGACAGTGAAGGTAAAGGCATTTCTGACCCTTGACTCCATCCCTCATGGAGAGCATATAGGTGCTCATGAACAAGCGGTTGAATTCAGGGAACTAGGAACTGTTCCATTTATGGGGTATGTGGAGCAAAATTCTGCATTTAATGAGCATCTGGTTTTGAGCCAGGACAAAAGTGAGGAAATTTGGCATCAAAGAGTTGTGTCAATTGGTGAATTTGCACTGAAAAACTGAGCAGAATGTTGTGTAAAGGGGCTCAGCTCCCCTGAGAGCCCTTGGTCAGGTCAGTCTTCCCTGTTTGTAATCTTGATTCCCAAAATAATCTCTCAGGAACGCAGTCTGGATAACCAACTCTCAGGCATTTTCTCAGATCCTATATGGTGATGTGACAGGTCCAAGGAAGGTTATTCAAAGACTCGGGCTAGTACAGTTTTATTTGGGGGGGAGTGAACCTCCACTTCTAGTTCATGAGATTCCACCTCTGGGGAAATGGCTTCAGTGCTAGTGGGTAGGTGCTTGCTTATTAATCCAGGAGACACAGAGATGCCTCATTCATGGGTGCTCACCCACTCAGCCATTACAGATGCTGTGTCTGGTGAGGGACAGAAGGCATTGTCATCAGAATACTTCGGCTTGTGTGTGTATGATTACGAAGCAGGTTTCTTCTGATAGCAAAAAAGAGCTTCTAATGCAGACTGTAACTCACCACATTGGTTTATTTACTCTCCTGTGTGCCAGAGTGTGCAAATGTTATCTCAGATTCAGTTTAGTTGGTTGGTCTCTTCCCTGGTATCATGACTGCTTCTCTACATGCCACAAATCCTATAGTTCAACAATTACTTCAGCAACTACAGTCTATTTAAGCTCTCTAAACCTGTTTTATTACTCATATCAGGTCTCAATCTGTTCTTCCTGGACCTATGACTGTGGAAAATAAAGTTGCTGGTCTCTTGACGGTGCCAGTTTTTACACAGGCTGCAGAAGAGCCCCAAACACACAGACGTCCACTGCCTTCATGTTCACCATCATGTCCCAATACAAGAGGCCAGGTATATTGTCTGTGCTTGCTCTATCTGTGCTCCCTTACACTGCATGCGCCGCTGCCCCCCCCCCAATGTGGCTAGAGCTAATCCCCCTGGTCTACAGATCAATTAATTTTTGCAAATGTATATTACATATGTCACGTTCTTTTCCACAAAGTCTTTTCTCCTTGTAGCTATAGGTAATTATTCTCACTTCCTATGGGTTGTTCCCATGTCTTCGAAGAGACCCAGAGCAGTTTGCTCTGTTCTAGTACAATGTTTTCTGTCACAGGTGTTCCCTCTACTATTAAAATGGACAATGCCCCAGCATATACTAGTAAATCTTTTCAATCATTCTGTGCTCGAGCGGGCCCAGTAACGTCTCCACTGGAGACTTTGTTGTTACTGTTTTTGGCATATCGAATACATCACGGGGAGCTTGCCAGGCTCTGCCGTGAGGGCGAGATACTCTCGGTAGCTTGCCGGGCTCTCCAAGAGGGGCGGAGGAATCGAACTCGGGTCGGCCATGTTGGCTGCGTGTAAGGCAAACGCCCTACCCGCTGTGCTATCCCTCCAGCCCAATCATTCTGTGATGAATGGCAAATTAAATGCATTACTGGAATCCCTAATAACCTACAGGGACAAGGCTATAGTTGTGTGTGTCCATAGAACCCTCAAAACAGTTATTAGAAACAAAAAAGGAGGTATGCTCCATGTCTTTGATATTATTTTCTTTGAACTTTTTAAATTTACCTCAATGGAGCCTTATACAACAGCTAAAATATATTGTCAGAAAGGTGCATATGCTCAGGAAACTATTAATACTCCTATTTCAATTAAAATTGACAAAGAATGGGTAGCAGGGAAACTCCGCATTTGAGGAAAAAGCTATGCTTTTGTTTCAACGGATGATAACCCCACTTAGAAACTTTGGGTCTAATTATGCCTCATCAGAAGTCTAATTTATCTGCCTAATTTAGTCTTCAGACTCTCAGAGACTCCACAACCCTACAAATTTCAGCCCTGAGCCATCATCAAACTGATTTCAGCTGGAAGTCACAAGGAAATCACAGGAGAAGCCAGCGTCAGAGAAGTTACAGAAAAAGGCCTCTAGATCCTTTAAACACATCATGAGGTCACATTAAGAACTTTCCTTACACCCTTCTTTTACAGGTTGTGGATTGGGCAGTGCCAGGAACCCGCAGTTGGACTAATAATTCCTTCCTTTTACCCCACTCTTTGGAATTCACAGACGCCTCAATTATCAAACAAGGAAGGAACACCTTTTATTGGGAACACTTGTTTTATTTCTCTTTTGGATCCCCGTTTGTATTGGAGCTCCTCTCTCTCTCTCTCTCTCTCTCTCTCTCTCTCTCTCTCTCTCTCTGGCCCCAGGCATGGAGTTGTACCAAACCCTGATGCTCAAAGCCTCTGATAACTTACAAAAAGTGTTTTTTCTCACACATAAGCTAGGTCACACATCTAATGCTGCCAGTAAACCTTGCCAGAGAATAGCTGTGTTCCCCTGCTGAAGGACTTGTGACACTCGCTCCAGTGCTCCCTGAATTTCATCAAATTCCTAATAATTGATCCCCTGGGACATATTGCTATAAACACTACCACTGCTGTTGCAAGAACAGCTCTTTAAACTGCACAATTTTGTCAAAACGTGAAAAAATGACTCATCACCTCTGGACAGTGCAGATCACATTCAACGGTGACACTGAGCAACGATTGGACACATTATTTTTTCTTTTTGCATTTTGGGTCACACCCAGCGATGCTCAGGAGTTATGTCTGGCTCTTCACTCAGGAATTATTCCTGGTGGTGCTTGGGGGACCATATGGGATGCCGGGGATAGAACCCAGGTCGGCTACGTGCAAAGCAAATGGCCCATCCACTGTGCTATTGCTCCAGTCCCTGGACACATTATTATAAGCACTGTTTTGATTAAGAGAGAAGTTGAAATGTCAATTTTTGCATTTTGCAAACAGAAAAGAGGGAGATATTGGATAACATGAATTTGTTCTTTTCCTCTTGCCTCAAAGAGCTTAGGTTTATTGAGTTACACCCATCACAGTACCCTGGAGGCATTCCCATTCATCTGTGTTTGTCTCTAACCTCTCCTTTGTGCTCTGCTTCCCCTATCTGTTAATCACTTATATCCCCAAATCAGACCCTGTGACTTGTAAGGTCAGATCCTTCTACGAACTCTGGATTTGTATATGCAAGTGAAATATTACTTTTCTCTTCCCTTTTGTCCTTTGCATAGTTTATTTTATTTAGAGAAATGTCCTTTTTGTATAGACACAGGAAGACAGATAATGCTATGCTTTTGTAACTTGGGAATTAATTGATTCCAAATAATATTTACTCCTGGGCATCTGTCATAGTTTTTCAACTTAAGCCTCAGTTGCCCTTAGTTCCTAGCACTCCAAAAGGAGGGTCCTGATGAAAGGATTGGATAGACACAGGGCAAGCTGTGAGATACCCTGACATGAAAAAGGGACATGCAAGCACCATAAAACATACAATAAGTTAACAGCATGGTCATGGACAAACTCTGTCATGACCCAAAAAGAAGTAACTGGATAAATAAGCTGCTGGGGTTAGGAAGGACTGATCTGGCCTGAGGCCTATAGTCTGGGATATATAGTGAGATGTCCCTCAGGAGAGCCACCCTTTAAGCTTAATATACTTCTTATTGTGTCCATACAAAATGACGAGAAATATGATTAAGACATAAATGTAAGATGACCGTTTAAATGGATCTGGACTAAGGAAATGGGAAAGCATTACACCCCTAGCTGGTATTCCATCTTTGGGGGGGTCTCCTTGCAAGATGAGTTTTTGTCCTAGAAGAATTTTCCCCTGGTGGGAAAATTCTTGACACCCGTTGATTGTACAACCACACCTATGTGTAATTGCCACCCAACCCTTGATAATTTCTCTATAACTAACGCAGTGAGACTAGCTTGGTGGGCAGTGTGAGACTAGGATGGAGATTGGAATAAACAGCAACTGATCACCAACCAACTTGGCCGCCATTTCCTCCTTTGTTGGTCCATCGCCATTAGCTGTCCAGGGTAGGAAAGTGGCTCCTGGCCATTGAACACATGTGCATGGATTGCTCCCACACATATTAAATGCACAACTGAGAATCTCTGCAACAGCCCTGAGAAATACTGCATGGGAAAATGAAAATACAGGGAAATGAAACTGTTTTTCCTACTCTTGTGTGGTGATATTCAGTTTGAGTTAGGTTTTATTTTTTTCCCCATTATGTTGCTTTCCTCTCCTTCCTCCTCTCCCTCATCTTCTCCCTCATCCTTCTATTCTACTCCTTCCTTTTTTTCTTTTTTGGGATCAGAGAACTATTACAGTGGGTACAGTATTTGTCCTGCATATAAACTACTGGCACCCCATATGCTTTGCAAGCAGTGATCCCTGAGTGCAGAGTCAGAAGTCATGAGCACCACTGATGTGACTCCAACCCAAAAATAAACAAATTATTAGGAAAGTAAAGAAAATAAAAAAGCATGGTTAATGTTCACACTAAACAGAAAAGGTTTCTGCCTGCAGGTATCATTATGTCCCACTTCTATGTAGTCCAGTAGATATATAATATAAAACGAATTTTAAAAAGTAAACCTCCCCCAAAAATAAAAAGAACGGTGAATGTAATTTCTAAATTAGTTTATTTAATGCCAAACAAAGAATATATATACACAAATAACTTAAATATCGAAGTGATGTGGTAATTTCACATGTCAGTAAAATCTTGAAATGCAGTAAATTTTTCAAAATATTAGCAACATTAATACATTAATTAATTTCGCATTTTTCATAACAAAACCATTCAAGTACCCAGTGATAATTCAAAAAGGAAACAATATTCACAAGTTATATATAATTTTAAAAATTTTCTAAGCCTGAAATGCAACAAGTTTTACAAAATGGAAATATTAAAAACAAAACATTAACATATAAATTCACTGTGCATTCTTTAGTCTTAGTTAAGTCAAACTGAGTTTTATTCCCAGTACCCTATTTGGTCCCCCGAGCTCTCCAGGAGCGAGCCCTGAACCCAGAGCGAGGGGGAAGTCCTAAATATGTCAGATGTGACTCTAAAGCAAACAAAAACAAAACCAAAAAACTTTCTGAGGTATTAACATGGAAGCCAGGAGCTGAGGGCTGAATAGCAAAAGAGAGCCAACATGAATTGAATAGAGTAAGATTCTTAAACAGTAGAATAGTATGTATCTCTACAATTTTTGGCATCAGGAAAACCACTGTGTATTTTAACATGCTGATCCTGGGGATACAAGGTTTGTTAAGCCGCATACAAAAGTGAACCACTGTTGGAACATGCCAGCAACAATGTGTTAATGGCTCCACATCAATGATGAAGCAATTCCTTGTACTGTGAAAGTAACTAAGGAAGGCTGGTCCACCTCATGTCTTCACGATGTGCCAACTCTAGTAACAACTTCAATTGGTTGTGCAATGAAGCAACTTTCTCTTGGTCTAAATTGCCATTTACATCCCCTTGTTCATAGCAATCCAAAGGAACAGGATAAATCACATACCTCAGCTCCCTTAAGCCTGTCAAGTGTCGCACAACACTTACTAGTGCAGACATTGTAATTGAATTGCAAGCAAAGCTAAAGACACGAAGGTGTGAGCAGCTGCTCAGGGCTGGAAGGATAGCAGTGAGAGAAGAATCAGTTATTTGGCAGTTGTTTATCTCTAGATACTGAATGGTGCCTGAGACCCGCTCCAGCAGAGTCTGGAAGGGCTCAGAACCTTCCCAGAATATCTGATTATTACTCAGATTTAGTAGCTTTAAGTGGCTGGACTGAGTGCTCTGGGATAGGATACTGAGGTCTTTGTTAGATAGGTCACAGACAGTCAGACTCAGTATATCCAACTGAGGTCGCAGGACACTGTAGAGGAAAAAAAGAGATTATTTCAAAGAATGAAATACTGGACCAGAGGAAAGAACCCTGAGTTATAGCTACCTTTATATTTTAAAGTAATTTGTACTTAATCCTCTATGTAACTATCAACAAGAGTTTTGGATTTACACTTTAAAGATTTATGATCCTGCACCAGCTACTTTACCAGCAAAAAGCTCAAGCTCTTAGCTTTTAAAAGTATAAAATGGTAATTATGCAGTTATAGGGTAGTTTACATTGAATGTAATCAATGGTGGATCATGTTCACAAAGTTGTTAAATATAGGTCTGAGAGAGTAGCCAACTGAGATTTCCCTTTCATTAGTCTCCAGAGAGCAAGGTCTCCATTCAGGTGTAAGATTTTAAAAGAAACTACAGGAGCAAAATAATCTGACAGTGTTATCTACTGTGGCCAGTCAGTGGAGACATGCATCAGAGCATAATAAATTTCTCCATCTAAATATCTCTATACTCTCACTCTCTCTCTCTCATCTCTCTCTCTCTCTCGATATAAACTGCAACAGGACAAGGAAACTTTTCCTACAAACTTTTCATAGTTTCTGTAAATGTTTGACTGTCTCACCAAACAAATAAATTAAAAAAGTTTCCTATTCTAACCTTTTTTAATTCCATCTACGTAAGGTGCCTCTCTGCTCTAAAAAGTTTCTACTTCTCAGCGATTTCCAAACTGAAGTATAAAGAAAAATATAATCTTGCGAATATTTAAGCATGGGTTCTTCACTGATTTCCCCTTTACCTGAGTATTTTTTTTAGTTGATCAGTGAGGCAGAAGAAAGACAAGTTCAGTTCCTCAAGGTTGTTCAGATTCCCAAGACAAGAGAGAAAAGTTTTGAAGATTTTCCCCTTACAAGATCTACATTCAACATCAATCAGGGTGAGGCTTTCCAGGTGGCTCAACTGAGATAAGAGGGTATTGATATCCCTCAAATGAGCCTTCTGCAACTCCAGACGATCAATGCATACCAAATCCATAATCTGAAGGCTATTTTTATACACATCTATGTCATCAATTTGCAAACTTCTGCAGCAGAGGTGCAATGACCCAGAGCTTTGTTCAACTTTATTCTTGAGAAAAGAAATAAACTGTGTTTCTACCAATGTATAATTGAAATTAAGGTCCATTAATAATTCCATGGTTTTCAAGGCTGGCAAAGGCTTAGACTCTGAGCTATCCATTCCAAGGCACATAACATTATGCTGTGCTTCTTTCACTTTAAGCATAGAATGCTGAGAATAAACACAAGACAGAAAACAAAAAGAGTGTTTGGCCCTGTACGAGCATATTATCTCACAGTCAGGGTCATGCCTTAAATCCAGGATCCTTAGTTTCGAGCCCCTGTAGAGGAAAAGGAGACAGAACATGTGAGAAGTAGCAGGTTTAATTATAAGTCAGCAAGACCCAGGATGTAAAATCAGATCAGAAACTTTTATTCCCATTTTTTTTAACTCCACATGTCATTCACATACAAGTTCTTCCATATAAATTTAGCATCTTTCATTCTTTCCATAGGTTTTTTTTGCTTCTATATCTCTTCAGTGTCCATGCCCAAGTCATAATTTCATGCAATCATACTCAGGAAGTAAATCCACCCATAGTATCCTCACTCTGTAATCGGTCCTGTAAGACTTTAAAGTACTTATGATAACTCCACACACAGATACTAAATATGTAATAAGGGTAACTTTAGAGTGTGTCTCTGGTATTCCCCTACCCCAGGAACCAGAAAAATGTCCTGCTGACCCAATATATCTTTATTATATTAGTCTTACCCTGAGGAAGAATTCTGGGCAGGGACGAACTGCAGACCATCGACCATGGCTTCCAAGATGTCATAGGATGATTCAGGTATATTTAGTGTCCCAATATGCAGACAATGATAGGGCCAACATCTCACCAATGCCTTTAGTACATTCTTTTGTCTGTTTCCCAAAGCAGAAGTAAATAATGGAATGAAGATGTCTATTGGGAGTTCTTCCATGGCGTGGATAGTTGCAGGCTCATTTCTCAGCAGATTATTTATGGAAATTTCCAGCAGTGTGCCTACGATCTTTGGCTCCATCTTCATGAACCTACTTGAGGGTAATAAACATTTAAAAATCCTGAAAAGACATCTACATGATTATAAAATTATTTAGGAATTAAATATACATTAAACTATGTTTGGGAATTCAGTCGGCCACGTCAGAAAACCAGACACATAGAATTAAAATAAATGTATTTATCTTTGTACAAACACATACATGCAAAAATATAAATACAAAATAAAATAAATGTAGAGGTATATTCTGTGTAAGATGAAATGCCCTCGGAAATTAACTATAAGTGAACAGAAAACAGTTTTGACCACCAATCTGCCTTCTTTTACAATATTTTGCCCACAACAATACAAACCAATAATAAGTAAACTGATTATTGATGGGACAAAAGTCACAGCCTCATCATTATCTTAAAGTATAGAATGATAAAACTTAAAATAATTATGTAAAAATATGAAAACCATAAAATTCCAGCATCAAATCTGTCACAATCTCACCACTAAGGCTTTGTTGTGAGCAAATACAGATGAAGGAAAGCTACAAGAGATACAGAGGAAGGAAAACAGTGACAGACATATAGTTAACATAAAACTAGATCCACAAAGACTAAACACATAGAGCATCAGAAAATACCAAAAAGAGGCCCTTAAAATTAGCACAAGGATTCCAAGAAAGGAACTTCAAAATATGAGCATTTATAGAGAGATAGGGATGGTGTAAAGAGGGAATATGTATAACTCATACATTCTGAGGTAACATGAAGCAAAGAAGAAGGGACAAATATCCTCTGACACCTGGATAATTATGGGTAAAAGAAACTGAAGGGGGGAAACTTAGATCCTGGAAGGAAGGCATCAAGGAGTCACAAAATTAGAGTAGTCTTGCCTCTCTCCATCACCATAAATAACAAAATATCTGAAGGACTGGGATTTTGCTATGCTGACAGAAAATGACTTCATTAAACTAGAGATTGCTTGAAATAAGCCAGTATCATAGAACAAACAGCAGAGATTCTGCAAAAAATGGAAAATGATAAAACAAAATTTCAGATGTTAAACTATTGTGGCGTAGGATGAGATTGCATGTTAACATTCTGAAGAGAAATAAACATACATAGGTAAGAAAAACTCCTACATAAATATGTAACAAATCTCCATCACAATAATCTCTCTCAATGTCAACGGACTAAATGCACTGATCAAGAGGAACAGAGTGGCAGGACGGATAAGGAAATTGAACCCAACACTCTGCTGCTTGTGTGAAACACTTCTGAAGAATCAAAGAAAGCACAGACTCAAAGACTGGGAAACAATTCTCCAAGCAATAAAAAGCCCCTCACAAAAGCTAGAATGACCATACTAGTATCGGATCACACAGACGTTAGGCTGAAGAGGATTATAAGAGACGGTGGAGGTCATTTTTTAACAATCAAATTATCTTTACATCAGGAAGAACTCACACTCCTAAATGTATATGCACCTAAGGAGGGACCAGCAAGATACTTAAAACAGCTAAGAATAGTTTTAAATAAAGACATTGATAGTAAAACGATAGTAGCTAGAGATTTCAACACTAATTTTTCCCTCTTGATAGATCAACCATACAAATGCTCAGAATGGAAATACTTTATTGAGGGAAGAAATGTAAAATAAGGTGGTAGTAGATGTATATAGGAGTTTCCATCTCACCAAAGCTAGATACACATTCTTCTCCAGTGCACATGGGACATTCTCCTAGAAAGACCACATAGTAGACCACAAGACATACCTCCATAATATTAAGAGGATAGAAATTGTATCAACTAGCTTTTCAGACCATGATGCACTGGAAATATAAGTGAATCATGCACAGAAACAGAGAATCAAATCAAACCCCTGGAAATTAAACAAGACTGCTACTTAACAAGTGAATTTAGAGAGGAAATCAAAGAGGAAATCGAACGATTCCTAGAAACAAGTGAAAATGAGGACACAAGCTACTAGAACTTGTGGGACACAACAAAAGCCGTGTTAAGAGGAAAGTTTATAGCACTGCAAGTATTCATCAGCAAGGAAGAATAGGCCCACATAAATAGCCTCATAGCTAAAAACTTAAGATCTTGGGAAACTTAAGATCTTGGGAAATGAGCAACAACTGGAGCCCAAAACAGGAAGCAGGAAGGAAATAATAAAATTTAGAGCAGAGCTGGAGCGATAGTACAGCAGGTAGGGCATTTGCTTTGAACACAGCCAAACCGGGTTAAATTCCCCACATCCCTTAAGGTCCCCCGAGAATCACCAGGAATAATTCCTGACTGCAAAGCTAGTAATAACCCCTGTGCATCGCGGGATGTGACTCATAAAGCCAAAAAAAATTAGAGCATAAATCAATGAGATGGAATCCCATAAAACAATCCAAAAGATTAATGAATCCAAGAGCTCGTTTTTGAGAAAATAAACAAGAACAATAAACTACTACCAAAACTCACAAAGAAACAGAGAGAGAGAACTCAAATAAACCAAATCAGAAATACAAAGAGGAAGGAACATCACAACAGAAACTACAGAAATCTATAGAATCATCAGAGATTACTTTAAGAAAGTTTATGCAACAAAACAAGAGAACCTTGAAAAAAATGCATGAATTCCTAGATTCCTATAAACTCCCAAGGCTGAATCAAGAAGATTTGGGAACACCAAAGCAAACCTATCACCATCGAGGAAATTGAAATGGTAATCAAGTGAAAATTACAAACCTATATTACTTGATAAACACAGATGCAAAGACCCTCAAGAAAATACTAGCAAATAGAATCAAATGATTCATCAAAAAGATCATATGCCGTGACCAAGTAGAATTCATCCCAGGTATGAAAGGATGGTTTAACATTTGCAAGTCAATCAACATAATACACCCTATCAATAAAAAGAAAAGACAAAAACCCTATGATCATATCAACAGATGTAGAGAAAACATTTGACAAGATCCAGCACCCTCTCAGGATAAAAACTCTCAATAAAATAGGAATTGTAGTGACTTTCCTCAATATTGTTATAGTCTACCACAGACTCAAACCAAGCTTTAATCTCAATGGGGAAAAACTAAAGGCTTTACCCCTAACATCAGGCACAAAACAAGTTTGCTCTCTAAGTCCACAGCACTTAGGCAAGAAAAAGATGTCAAAGGTATACAGACAGGAAAGGAAGAAGCCACAATCTCTCCATTTGCATATGATTTGAAACTATACTTAGAAAATCCTAAAGAATATAAAAAAAGTTTCTGAAAAAATAGATTTGTTTAGTAAGATATCAGTTTACAAAATCATACCCATAAGTCTATGGTTTTCTATATACAAATAATGAAAGAGAAGAGATATTAGAACAATCCTATTCACAATCGAGCCACAGAAAATCAAGTAACTCAGAATCAGCTTAACTAGAGAGGTGAAGTAATGATGCAAAGATAACTACAAAACACTACTTCAAGAAATAAAAGGAATCAGAGAACTGGAAACGCATCCCCAGCTCATGGAATGGGAGAATTAACATTGTCAAAATGGCAATAATCCCCAAAGCACTATACAGATTCAATGCAGTACCTATAAAGATACCCATGATATTTTTCAAAGAAATAGATCAAACACTCCTGAAATTCATATGGAACAATAAATCCCACGAATAGCTGAAACAATCCTTGGGGAAAAAGAATATGGGGGACATCACCCTCCCCAACTTCAAACTATACTACAAAGAGGTAGTAATTAAAACAGCATGGTATTGGAATAAAGACAGACTGCAGATCAATGGAATAGAGTTAATATCCAGACATTGATCTTCAGATATATGATCACCTAATCCTTGATAAAGGAGCAAGAAATGTGAAGTGGAGAAATGAAAGTCTTTTCAACAAGTGGTTCTAGGAAAACTGGATAGCTACATACAAAAAAAATGAACTCAGATCTCTAACACCAGGCACAAAAGTCAGATGAAAATGAACTAAAGACCTCAATATCAGACCTGAAACCTTAAGATACATGGAGGAAAATATGGACAGAATCCTACATGATATTGCAGCTAAAGGAATCTTTTCAAGGAGGAAACACCCCCAACCAAGCAAGTGGAAGAAAAGATAAACAATTGGAACTACATTAAACTAAGAAGCTTCTGCACCTCAAAAGAAACAGTGACCAAGATAAAAAAAAAAAAAAGTCCAGATATCAGGAAAAATTATTTACCCAATCATCTGATAAGGGGTTAATATCAAAGATATAGAAGACACTGGTAGAGCTTTACAAGAAAAAATACCCAACCCCATTAAAAAAATAAGAAGAAGAAATGAACAGAAACTTCCTCAAAGAAATATGAATGGCCAAAGGACATATGAAGAAAATTAACTACATCACTAATTATCAGGGAGATGGAACTCAAAACATCAATGAGATATCATCTCACACAAGAGACTGGCACACATCAAAAAGAACCGGAACAACCAGTGCTATCAGGGATGCAGGAAGAAAGGGACTCTTTTTAATTATTAGCGGGAATGTCTACTGATCCAGCCTTTTTTAAAAAAAACAATATGGGCATTCCTCAAAAAGCTAGAATTTTAGCTTCATATGACCCAGCAATACCACTTCTGGGAATATATCTTGGGGGCACAAAAACTCAGCAGAAATGCTATCTGCACTTCTATGTTCATTGAAGCACTATTATTCACAATAGCCAGAAACTGGAAACAAACTGAGTCCCCAAAAACAGATGACTATTTAAAGAAACTCTGGTATGTCTACACAATGAAATATTATGCAGCTATTAAAAAATTGAAATTATGAAATTCTCTTATAATTGGATGGACATGGAGAGTATCCTGATGAGTGGAATAAGTCAGAAGGAGAGGGACAGACATAGAATGATTTGACTCATTTTTGGGATATAGAAAAACATAATATGAGACTTACTACCCAAGGATAGTAGAAACAAGGAACAGGTGGATTGGTCCACGGTTGGAAGTCTGCCTCAAGTGCTGGAGAAAAGGCAACTGGGATAGAGAAGGGACCA